ACAGTCTACATCTAGATTCATCTGCACTTCTTGCATCTTGCAGTTGCCAGTACATTCTATAACCTAAACGTATTTTGGCAATAACCATGTCTGGTTTTACTTCGGTGCCACCCATAGGATGGCTTACAATCTCTATTCTGATCGTAGTGCCTTATACTAAAGCTTTCAGGCCTTTGTGAACTCGTCAGATCTATTAGTTCTTCATTATGAGAACTTTTTAATATGTGTGCAACCCTAGCAAGAGGCATCCCAAGATCTATATTTACAATATCATTGCTACAAGCCTCTTTCGCCAATTTGTCTACATGGTCGTGCTTGCATATACCAACATGAGATGGTATCCATACAAATTGAATGTTAAAATTGCGCTCTCTTGCATAAGTTACGTTACGCTTAATGCAGTTCACAAGTCCCTTAGTGTCTGAAGAGAGCTTTGGGAATAACAAAAAACTTCTCCAGAGCCCCGAACATTAAGTAATCTGTTGCGCGGAGTATACCGGCCAACTCCGTTTGAGTTGTGTTGGCCCAATGTTGTACTCTCATATGAACTTGATGTTGCAATAAACCATTTTTGTATACAGCACAAGCACAACCAGCTTTGTATTCAGACTGTACGGATCCGTCAGCGTAACACTCGTGCACATCACCCATAGATTCTAAGTGTTCCTTTACCGTCGCCAAAGCAATTTGTTTCAACACGCAGTTAGGTACACTGTTTGTTTGCGGTAGACATGTAAGGTGCACAATCAGTGATGAGTTTATCCATGGGGGAATGGATAGACCTTTTGGTATCTTACTTGGTTCATGCAGATTTTGTGTACCAGAGAACGCTCATGTGTCTGATTAGCCTTGTCTGCTTGCGTAATTTTATGTTGCAGCTGTTTTTGGAAATATGTGAGATACAAGGGTTCCCTCAGAGCTTTGACCCCAAACAGAGTTCAAATATATATTATTCTATAAAAAATGGATGGTAAGTTTAGTTCTGATCTCATTTTCACTATCCTTGCTGCTCTTGGGGCGCCGAGGATGCCATGTCCCTTTCCGACATGGACTTTCAGCGGTTTCAATCTCTCCCAGAATCTTCTTCGGAGAAGTGATCAGGTCTCCATCATTTACGTTCACCCGAGTTATTTATACTTATGACACATGTCAAGCTCCTGGTTTTCTATGTAAAACGTGGGTGGGGGTATAATACCCGGGTTGAGAGCCATTGTTTTTTCAGCAGAGATGACTAATCCACACGTGCCCTTGTTGTGAGTTCGTCGAGAATTCTGTGCATTCTTTCATATGATGATGCTCTGACACATGTGCCATCAGCATAACATATAATAGATTCCCCATCCCCAAGTGGAATATCTGTCACCAATTTGTGCATAAGGACATTGAACAGCATAGGGCTGAGAACTCCTCCCTGTGGGTCCCAAGTTCAAAGGGCTGTAAGGTGGAACTCCTCACTCCCCTGAACAAGACACTTGTGGATCTGTTAGAAAGATACATTCTAATCCAGCTCAATAATTAACCTCGTATGCCAAAGCTTGCCAATTGTTCTAGAATAACTTCTCTGTTTGCAATGTCAAAAGCTGACTTAAGATCAATAAAAACAGTGTGCTTCCCTGGATTAGAGCTTGAAAAATACTCTGCAAAGGAATGTTGTGTACTACGTCCCTGTAAGAATCCGTACAGTCTGTGAGATAATTCACCTTGTAACCTGCACCTGAGTCTGTTCATGTTCTATGACATGAGATTAGTGAAATTGGGCGGTGTTTATCAGTGTTTGGTTTCGGTATAGGGATGATTAGACTGCACATCCAGGAGTCAGGTAGAATACCTTGTGACATGCAAAGACTGTACAGGTGCAAAAGGGGATTACCAGGTACCTGGGCTCTAAGGCGAAGGACACTATGGCAATTCCATCTAAACCAGGGGTGGACGCCTTTGCTTGGTACATTGTTCAATTCCCACACACTAATCTCAGCAGAGTCAGAAATGTCGGAATCAGAACATCCAATCTCTATAGCAAATGAAACTGTGGAGAATTAGTCGGTTTACCTGAAAGACGATTAAATTTTTTTCCAGACCTGTTAATGCTTTGTAGGAACTGTTCTAAGTGTTCATTTCTAATTTGAGTTTTTAATTCCCGTAGATTTTTGTTAGCCCTAAGAAACTGTATGAGGTTGCCTGTAGATATTAAGAAGCTCCTGAACTCGCTTTTGTTCCCGTGATAATGTGGGGTCACCGACCCACTTAGGTCGTTTCGAGGGTTGTGAGTTATTAATCTTTCAGGTTTTCTTTGGACAAACCCAGGTGTTGTAGTAATCAGTGACCACTTTCGTCATATCCACGGAGAACTTATCAACACTCGTTACTGTGTATTCGTTATACCAATCATAGATGCGTGATTTAAAGTGGTGCTCAAGGTTTTTGCGGATTGGCTATTGTCAACAGCGTATCTCGTTTCTATTGCAAAGCATGCATCTGACGTTACCATGCACAAGATCCCTTCCTATTACATAATCTAGCCTGCCCCCTGCAACATGAGTTTTCTGATCTGTATCATATACGGTCATAGATCTGTTGTTTACAAAATGTCTGAACTCTTCGCCATTTTCATTACATTGACTATCACTAAATGAAGAATGTTTAGCATGAAAATCTCCCATGCATATTGTGCCATGATTCTGAAAGTTATGAATCGGTTTGAAACTTTTTACACCTTGCGTATACATTGTACAGGGAGAAAAACCCAGAGGCTATTCGAATATGTAGATGATACTGCACATTGTTGTCATCGGACGTCTTCACCAGTTAATGCGGTATGGCGTCACCAACATATTTCAAGAGACCTGTTATTCCTTTGTTTGTATTAGAATATCCTCAGATTCTAGGGGCAGTTTTTTTTAACTTAGTAGTTGATGTGAAAGGCTCTTGTAAACAGATGTCAACATTATTATTATAATCATAAGAAAGCGTCATTAATTATACAGTTGACCACGTATATTCCATGAAAGAAATTATTTTTCTTGTCCCCCATCACACCTTATCATTAGCTGAGTGGTCACATCTTTGTTTAATGAAGCCCTTTAGTTTACATATGTGTTTAATAGCATTACATATATCTGTTGCTTCTTGACTATTTGCAAAGGTGCTGCGCATTTCCCTTATATTGATGTTATATGCATAATTCGTACCTGCCATCATTTTCAGTGTTTTCCCAAAGGTCTTCCGTTTCCTACATATCTTCGCCGACGTTATTTCCACTGTCATCACCGCTTTCAGATGATTCGTCGATGGTATCATGTGTAATATTAGCATTAGCATGAGAGACATTCACATTTTCGATATCACTGACATCATAAAGAAGTATATTTTTCTGGAGAACGATAATTTCTTCGACCAGTATTATACGTTATAAAACCCCATTAGAGCAACAATAATAGGTAAATAATAGATAATTATATCAAATGCAATTAGTTCATACACGATTTCATATGTAAAATGGAAACAAAATGATAAGGAAAAAGATCACGATGTTTGGGTCCACATTTTTACGAATAGCACACGTATTTTCCGCATTTTATAGTAGAAAGATTGATCTATTCAGATATGTAATCAGAGTGGCTGTATTTTATAGAATTTAAAAAAAATGGTCAATGTAGGCCTACAGTCACCCCATAACATTGTCACCCTAAAATACTATGCATAAAATTTTGATAAACTGTTATGTGCTGGCAATGTACAAAAGACTTCAGAACGCAGGTACATGATAGACAATTATGGTATAGGAAAATTATGCTTGTCCCTTTCATTTTTCATCCCCCAAAAATGATGAAAGAAAAAAAAAAAAATTCAACGACCGTTATCTTCGAAGTATACTTATTTACGCAGAAATGCCGTTCGAGACGCAAATTTAGTCCAAAATAAATGTATTATGGCTCATGCTGTAGATAAATAAAATATCTAAGAAATGTAGCAAGCGGATTTTTCGATTTTTCCTGTGCTACTTGTAAAAGTGATATATACATATATAAAAAAGTATTTTTCGGACACCTACTTGGCGACTCATTAAAAAAAAAAAAAAAAAAAAAAAGGTATCATGTGTAATATTAGCATTAGCATGAGAGACATTCACATTTTCGATATCACCGACATCATAAAGAAGTATATTTTTCTGGAGAACGATCGAAAAATATTTCCAACATTCTCTAGGTAAAGGATGATTCTGTAAAATAAAACAATGAGAATGACAGCGATTATTTATTTATTTATTTATTTTTTAAAGAAATATTCTGCTTTGGTCAAATTTCAAAATTTTTCTTCCGATTTTTTTTTTTTTTTTTTTTTACTATAACTCCAAAACTGTTTGGGCGATTTCGAAAAAAAAAAATCCCACAGAGATCAGGCTAGGGTCTAAATTCCCACAGAGATCAGGCTAGGGTCTAAATTCCCACAAAGATCAGGCTAGGGTCTAAATAAAATGGTGTGAGTTTCATGAAAATCTGCAAGAAAAATCGAAAAAAGACGATTCCCTTAAAACTTTTTTTTTTTTTTTTTTTTTTTTTAAGAATTAACTTTAAATTACATAAGATCAAATTAATCGCAAACAAAAAGGAGCAGTCGGTCACTAAAAACAGAGTGTATAAAAAGGTTCACAGATGACTGTTTGCATTTCTTTGTCATGTCATCATGCAATGTTAGTGTCCATATGGACAGAGTGCTGTGTTGCATAAGGATACAATTATAAGATGCGATTTACTTCCAAATGAAAGTGAATCCAGTCCTCCATATTTAAGTAGCACTTATTATATGATGACTTCAAATTTCATTTCTTTGTTGGCATTGCTAATAACTCAACAACATTTAGAAAGATTTTAATGATGGTCCTAATGCTTTTTATCAGTACACAGAAAAACATGTGTAATGATAGATTTGTTGACCTCTGAAACACAGCAACTGATGCATGATTAACAATAATGTTTGCACATGTATTATCTACTCCACAG